TGATTGGATGATCTGTCTGATGCTGAATCCCTTTTTGATTGACAGTGAAATGAGAGAATCGGTGATCTTTTGGTGTAAACATTCCTGGGAACATTTTTTAGTTTCATTCTGTTCTGAGTTGAACCAGAGACTTTCCTAATCCTCTTAGCGGCATTTTCTTTGTTAAAAATGACACGTGACAAATCAAGCCTCTATTTCTGGTGTTTTTTGTTGCTGCTTGTGTTTGGAGACTCTTTCTGACTTCTATCGCAGTTTCTGTCCGGCGGAGGCTGCTAAGCCCCTTCACTGTCACAAAACACTCACAGGCAGACACACTTCACACTCTCAGACTGAAGAAGTCTCTTGGAGGAGAGACGAAACGTTTCATTAGAGAAGAACCCGTCCAGAAGACCTATACAATTTTTTTCTTTTTGACTCCAGATTTAATTGCATTTTTTTCCACCTAATTAGACTAAAAACAAGGGTTTTTGAAGGGTTTTTTGCCTAAAAACAAAATAAGGGATACAAATATTCGCTTGTGTGAAAAACGAACATAAGCATTTATCTTGTATTAAAATTTTATACTTTTATTCAATTATTCTTCTTAGGAACAACAACAACATAACCTATAGTGCATTAAACCAAAGAAACGAGGCACTAATGGTGTTTCATCAATAATTTATTGAGAATATTCCAAATGCAACAGATAGATCTGCTAAACAGACTTTAAAACGTTAGCTAATCTATAAAGGTGCTTTTAGAAGTCAATCCTTTGCTTCTTTCTTTTATCTTGTCTCTTTGCTTTGTATGCTGTAGATTTGAAGTCATCCAGGACAGATCAGAAAAACAATAAAAAAGTGTTTGTATAGCACTGTTACCTGTGATGCACATGACGGTCGTTTTAGCACGATGTGGGATTCAGATGGGGATTTATTATTATTATTTTATTATAGTCTGAGCAGATTCACATAGCAAGTCTGAATGAGTCATACAAAATTACTGCCATCCTTTAAGCCTTGCAGCTGTTGCATAAACAGGGGGAGCAGAACTGTGTTGATTATCCCTCTTGATTTCTTCGAGATCCATTTCCTCAGGTTCCCTTCAGTCTCGTTACGTCCCATGGTGAACCGACAACATCAGAAAGCTTCAGGCTTTTGGAGACCCCGACTACTAATGTTTTCTCTTTTGGAAAGATAAACTGAGGGGCGTTGATAAGACCTCACCATAATTTGGGGGCAGATCCTAACTCAACATTATCTTGGCTGGTGAACACCCCAGAGTGAATTGCTTTCAGGCAGCGTGCCCCAGAGCAGCGCAGGTTCAAAGCATTAATACGTGCTTAAATGTTTTATGCTGGATTTCAAATCTAAGGAACTTATTACAGTTTTTAATGCCTGCAGGGTCTCTGCTGCTTTGAAAAGCAATGTTGTGATGTAAGGTGTCATATAAAAAAAAACCCATCTATATTATTTTCATCCACTATTATAACCAATGTGTTACAGTTAGAAAATAGAAAACGAGCTGTAATCGTATTCTGAATCTTATACAGTCGGAGGCGTTTCATTCAGCATCACCGATTGCTCGTGCAGCACTAATTTCAAAAAAGGTTTGTAAATACACTTCATTGATGCTGACACTGGATGTTGATGTTGCTGTAAATTGCAAAATTACAGCATAATCACTGATTTCTTTGATCTTTCAGAGGAGTGTCGACCAAGGACACAAGCTGTAACTAACGCAGATCAAAGACGCCTGGTAATGTGACCTATTTTTGGGTGATTCTTTGACCGTTGTGAGATCAAAGATATATAATTTATCAAAATACCTGGTATAAAAATCACATTAAAACTTTCTGGAAAACATTAGCATTCAATCCATCTCTTAATTTTTACTTAAACTTAAGGAAGCCTTATTGTAAAGTGCAAAACAGTACACTATAAGGCTTCATTATGACATTTATATGTGCTGTATTATATATACTGTAGAATGCAGTAATACAGTACAATATTATATGTAAAATATGTTTCCAAATCATTATTGTGCTTACAAGGTATAAAGTTATGTTTAACATATTTTAGATGTAATAACAGATTTGGCAAACTGTTTGGCAAGAAACCAGACAATTTTGTCTCTTATTTGTCCTTAATTAATGCATAATAAACACTTATTAATGAGTTATAAAGTGTTTATAGGTGAATTTATAAAGTATTTATAAGGAAAGTCTTATTGTAAAGAGGTAACAAAATATCTAACTAATGCTAACATCTGAACCAACCCAACCATTTGGTGATGTTTACACTCATCTTTTTTTAAATTTATTACATTAGCAACAGAAAAAAATGTATTATAAACTGCAAGTAGGCAAATAAAATGTCTTATTTTTCCATAACATTACACAATGATTTTTAATACAAGCATTTTTGTAAAAATTAGAAAAAGAGACTCACTGATTTGTTTACAATATATTTTTGATAATATTTCATTTAAATCATAGAAAAAATCTAAACTCTAAAAATTAAAAAATGCAGCAAATGATCACATATTCTATGTTAATTTGTGTTTAATTTTACTTTAATAAAAAAACACAAAATAGACAACATCTATGAAATAAGAACTTTTATTTATAATATATTCATACTTGTACACAAGTAAAATAAAATGCATATCTATGGTTCCATTGCAATCCCCATGAACAAAATGACAGCATTTCTTGTTTTTTTTTTCTTTTTTTTCTTTTGTAAATGCTGCCCATATATTCTCTCTGTCAAGAAAATAGAACTAAAATTCAGGGAGATAAAACATTTGTTTTTTTATAAACATGAAAAAAGAGAACAAAATAAACAAAACAGTACCCAACAAATGCATGTTTTTGAATAATTAACAAGGGGAGATTGGTTTTCTTCATGAAACAGACCAGAACATTCTCTGTGGGCTTTCTGTCTCTTATTGTTCTTGTATTGGTTTTCTCAGTTTTTTGTTTTTGTCTGTGCTTTTTTTTTTCTCTTCCAGTGGTCTGTCTAAGCAGTAAAAGCTTTCAAGAGGGAAAAGGGAGGAATCTCCAAAGTGTAGCTTAGACACAGTACAGTTGAGTACATAGAGAACAAACAGTTTTGGGCACCAATTCAATATTTACATTAGATTTGTATTGTTCTGTAAAGGCATCCATTTTGTTTATTGTACTCTTACATTGTCACTTTTATCTCCAGCCATCTTGGGTCAACATGACTCCTCGTTTTTCAGTCACTGCCTGTTGTGATGTCACTGGATCTTCTGTATCATTGTCATTAGCTTCAACATTCTTGAGTTCTTTGTGCGAAGTGTCGTGGGGAGTCCTAAGACATGGCTAGAGATATCCAGATCATGGGAATGACGGGAAAGTGCAACATTTGCAAAGTAGAGCCTTGGCTTTTGATGCAGTGGGCATCTGATTTGGGCTTTTTAACACACTTCTTCATCTTTTTGTTTGATGCTGTAGCGGATTCAGGATTCTCTATAAATTCAGGGTGCAGGTTTTCCAAAGTCTTGTCCAGGTTATTGGACAAGGTTCCCAGTGGACCATCATTCTGCTTAATCTGAGTCTCGTTTTTTGTTCTTTCTTGCTGTTTGAACTTAGTATTGGACATGTTCTCCTTTTCTTTAAGGGGATTGTTAGTGATTTGGCGACTTTTTCCAGAAAGAATAGAAGACTTGTCATTATCTCGCAGACAACACCTTGGAATGGTGTTTCCCAGAGGGCTTTCGGTAGAAGGGAATTTTCCTGACTTGGAGCCAAATAGATTGGTCTGGATTTGCGAGGTTTCCACACAGCCCTCCAAGTCTTCACTTTTCAGTTGTTTCAGGTCTCTTCCAGCCAAGAAATCCGGGACGTAGCACTCCAACTCTGAGCTGGAACCTTTAAAGCGTTTGAACCATTCCCACAAGGTCCTCGCACGGCAGTCGCAGATCCACTGATTTCCATTCAAGCGCAAATACTGGAGGGAAGCTAGTGGGTCCATAGTCTCCCCTGTCAAGACGGTAAGGTTGTTGTAGAACAGGAACAATGATTTTAGCTTGCCGAGATCAGTGAAAGCTCTAGGTTCTACATAAATTACTCGGTTCTGGTGTAGCAAAAGCCGATCCAGGTTGATTAAGCCTCGAAACATGTTGTTGGTTATTATCTTGATCTTATTATTGTGCAGGTAGAGATAGGTCAGGTTCGCAAGGTCCAGAAATGTATCATTATGCAACGTTAGGATGTTATTGTCTTGCAGGTAAAGGTATTGCAGGGATACCATTCCTCGGAAAACCCCAACAGGTAACTCTGACAGGCCACACCTGTGCAGCTGGAGAGTGTGTAGCTTTGTTAAGCCCCGGAATGCTGTTGGGCTAATGGTGCGGAGGTTGTTGTTGTCTCCAATGTCCAATTCTTCCAGTTTTTCCAAGCCATAAAAGGCTCTGGCTTCAATGTAGCTTATGTTGTTGGAGTAGAGCCAAAGAACAGTAAGATTGTGGCAAGAGCTGAAGCTCGTGGACCTCACCATGGTCAGGCTGTTGCTCTGAAGGAATATTCGTTGGCTTCGAACTGGGATCTCAGTCGGGATGGAAGACAGTCCTTGTTGTTGGCACGCTACAGTGGGCCTGGGCTCGTTGTAGCACACACACTTGGCAGGGCAGCTGTCAGTCTGAGGCAATAGATTCAACCACATCACCAGCAGAAGGAGTCGCCCCCCTAAGGAGATACAATAAAAAAACAACATCAAAGATTAATTAATGATGCATTTAAATACTGAACATCACAAACATGTGGAAAACGTTGTACATTGGTCAGAGCAAAATAAGCGTAAAACAAACAAGCTGTCAAAAGATGAAAAGCATGTAACATGGAATATTTCAGATTACTGACAGTCTAAAGGAATACAAAACAACAAAATACATTTTGTCACAAGACCTGAAATGTTGGGCATGTAAAAACAGAAAATTTAATCGCTTAATGATATTCATTTAGAGCACATTTTAGGTATGATCTTGTTTGGATCTTAAACAGCAGGGGCCCTAACTGCTGCTGACACATTTAAATTGAGTGGGTGGTTTGTTTAAGGAATTAACTTGATCTAATAAGCAAACATAACTAATGGGGCTTCAACACTCTTGAAATTGACATTGAACCTGATGGTGGGAGATAATGCCAAGCAAAGGGATTATTGGCTGGAAGCAAGAACAAAATCTGGTGGTTATTGCTATTTTTACGTTCATCTATGTTTTTTTTATTTATTCATCATCCAGTTCTTCTCAACATATGATCTCAGGAAGAGTTTTAGGGAAGTTTTGAAGTTAAATGGAAAAATTTGGCCAAGTTGATCCGACTTGCCTTTACAATAGATTTTATTAAAATAAATAAAGGAAATGCTTTGCCAACTGAAACGTGAAGGGCAGAGTAAAGTTGCATAAATTTGCACAGCTTTCAGCAATGTACAAAAAGACCTTACATCTTACTTGATCTATGACCTTATAAAATATTTGTCTAATGAGTTTACATTAATCATTAGTCTTTCATTAAATTAACAGAGTGTGACTTTTGTTTCATAAATTATCTCTCTAATTTAATTAACTAGACCACAAAGGCAAGGTTAGCTTGGGGGCTACTTTGTGACTGACAAGCTTTTAGCAAATGAACACGCATTTCCACAGTAGTCAATCAAACTCACAACTCGTTTGGACTCCACAGTCTCAACAGAACAGGATGGTAGCCATTAAAATGCAAATAAAACTTAAAAGTGGAGGTTTAACTAACATAATGTCTTGTGTTTTCCCATTTTTAAATCAATGTACTAATCATAGTGACGTTTAATGAAAAATATTCTCATACTGTGATAAAATGATGGAATATATGTATAGACTCTTTTTCATGGCATTCCTCAGTTCTGAAGCTGCACCAGAATGAGAGATTGTCACTTTGTATCACATCTGTTTGTGCATCAAAGTATTGGCACATCACAAAAAGATTTTCTGTTTCTTGGTTAGTAAATAAGAGAAGCAACTCTAAATTCTGCGGGCAGCATTAAGTATGTGAATCGTTTCTTTCTGCCCCGAGTTCAACTTTACGTTCCCTGAGAAGCACAACAAGGCAGTTGGACTGCTTTCTTTGATTCATGAAGACGGTTTGCTTTTCATCCAGGGAAACAAATGCTGCCTTTGTTTTAACTTGCAAAGTTTACCACATCCTGAATGACTGAGAATTTAAACCATTGAATTCCATCAGAAGCAACTTTATTACCCCAAACCCCCTTAACCAGTGGTGGGCAGCGCTAATCCAAAAATTAGCTCCGCAATTTCTACAGCGCTTACAAAAATATTTAGGTCCATAACTTCAAAAATGCTTTTGCCATAGAAAAACTAGCGGAAGCTAATTTTAAAGCGCAAATTCAATTTCACACTTACTAGCTGGCAACAATTCATGTACAATATATGCACAACACTGCCAACTAGCAGTTTATGAAGCCTTGTACAGCTTAATCCTACAACCTCAGATTGCTGGGGATGTGAGTTCCTGAAACAGACCTTTAGCTCCTGGTGTAAAAATTAAAAAGTTGTTGAGGATTGCTAGTTCGGCTGCTTCTTTGTCTTTTTCTTTTGATTGTTGTAGATTTTTCATTAAAGAAGCATCAATAAAGTAATTTTAAAACTGTTTATTGGAAAACTGAAGCGATGCATTCTGGGTACATGACAGATTTGATTTGTGATGGGAAACGAAAACACGGAATACAGGAAACTATCTTCCGTTCAAAATAGGAGCTTGGATTTTAAAGTTTTCCATGTAGTTGCTCCAGTTGCCCACTAGATGTCAGTCTAACCCGGTTGGCCAATTGCTTTGACCAATTGCGTCAAGTATTGAGCTCCAGCGTTTAAACTTTATTTTTTTAAGGAGCTCTGATTGTAAAGTAAAATAAATCAATACAAAATTTTAGTATGAATTACAAACGTTAACTGTTTTTGCTGTGAAAGGGAGTTCTAAACATTGCCTTCCTGCTACGAAAGCAGACACAAAGCATTGTGGGAAATGAGAACCGTGGCCGAAAGCAACAGTCAGCAAGGATGTATACCTTCCCAAAAATTGTGTTTATCATGGAGGGGTGCTGTTGGATAGATCATGTGCGTTGTGATTCATTGACATCCATACCTTCCACTGTTCAAGATAATGATGACTGGTAGATAATTAGTTATTAGCGGTACTGCATTTTAATTTTAGAAAGTGCAAATCTGCTTATGAATTATAAAAATGAGTAAGTCTGCTAAAGCGCAAATGAAATATTTAGCTCCGCAATTGGCAGATTTGTGCTTTAACGGACTGGTGCCCACCACTGCCTTAACCAAACACTCAAAAATACTCCTGACATGCAGTACTGTATTTCATAAAATCCCTGACAATATAAATCACAAGACTGAAAATACATAAATGCTACATTACCTGTTGGCTAAGGCATGAAATCATATTTCTAATGTTAAAAAGAAGCATGAATTTAAGATCTATGAGACGTGTAGTGGCACTCAGAGGGAGGCTTGTGAATGTGATTACCCCAAAGGCATCAATGTTTGTTTGTTTTTTTTTTAGAAAAAGCTATACACAACATTTGCCAAATTTAATTATTTCTACATGTCCTCTGTTTTGACTCAGATGTGCTTCTTAAACACAACCACTATAACTGAAATGAGCTGAATAACCACACACAAAGGAGCCTGACTGACATTACACCGCTGAGTGAAAAATGAAGGTTATCTACTCCTGCTGCATCCTTCATGTAGAGATAAAGGTGTCAGAGTGTCTCAAGCATGTCTTGTATCATGATATAATGACAGGTACCCTCCAAATCTCCAAATCCTCTTCAGCTCCTGTCCTTACTGAAGATTTCCAATTTCTGCTGCCACACACATGTAGGAAATTCAGGGTTGCAAGCATGACAGGTGGTGAGTGTGTGGAAAAATGCATGAGCCTTACTCATCCCTCCCTACATCCCCGCGCGGCCCCTTCCCGTTCCCCCTGCAATGTGTTGTGGTGCAGCTCATCTCTGGACCTTGTTAAACGGAGCTCTGGTGTGGCCTGACAGCAGCCCTCTGCTGCACTTTCCCTCCAACCTCCCTGCTCAGCCGTCAGACTGCCACCGGAAAGCTGTCAAGGCTTTCCACTCTTTCTGCATCGCAGCACTTTTCCTTCAGCACTGCCTAACAATAGCAATATTTTACCTCACCGCATGCTTCGTGTATCTCCTCTGCCGTCGTCGTCTTTTTTTTTTGTTCACCGCTGTCTGTTCATTAACAGGATATTTCCACCCAAACGCTGCATGTCAAAGCACAGTTTCCTCTGCTCTCAGCATAATATGCCTTGTCTTTGTTAGCATCTGTCGAACGATGGCCTAATCTCCTGATTTCATCAACCTCTTGCCAAGACTTCGTTTTTCTTATTAACTGCATCTATTTGTGTCACATGGATGACATTACCAGACAACATCAAAATAATTCTGTCAGTCGTGGCATCTTGACTTTTAGGCATTCAGTTTGTCACGGTTATATCATAACGTCACAGACCGATTCTTCACACTTTACTCCACAGACGATTTAAAATTTACATTTTCTCTGTTCATTCAAATTAAGCAAATTGCTTAAAAGCACACAACATGGCAAAGATGGCATCTCAATAATTATGCTAGCTAAAATTCCCCACCGCTAGGTTTGGTTTTAATCTTCTATCTCTTGTGTGAAAACATGGCTCAGAAAAGCACCTTGCCTCTTTGATTCTGTCAGCAGCTTCTTTTCTCCAACAGAAACAACAGCGGTCTTGTTCTGTTTGGGATCAGACAAGCGTTTTTCTCACTAAATTACAGTTTTTACCCTCTTTAGCTCTAAATGCATTATCTCGGACAGTTTTGTCAAGATAAGCTTATTTACAATACACAATATGGTTGGATAAACAATGATTTTTAATCCCCATTGCCTGACTAATCAAGAGGAAAATTGTTTAAATTCATTTGGTGCTGTGAGGACATTTCTTCACAGTATACACAGGGTGACTTATTACATTATAATTTTAGCCATAAATCATATCTGAGGCATTAAAAGTATTAATCTCTGACTTGTTTGAGCTTTTGGTACTTGGGCTGTTTTTGCTTTGTTTTTGACTTCAGCATGACATCAATGTGGAATCCAGTGAACTGGCATTGCTGCACCATTAAAACCAGTAGTGACAAATGCATCAGTAGTTAGCAACTCTGACTAGCTCTAAATACACAAGTGTTTGCAACACTTAAGAGCTAACAGAACAATTCTGTAGTACGGATTTCAACTTTGACACGCAGGAACAAGCAAAGCTGTGCAGGGGTTCTCCTGGCCTTTTGGGTCTGGGGACCTCTTACAAGGGTGAACAAATTCCAGGGATCCCCTCATAAACCCCATCCTGTTTTAAAAGATAATATATTGTCATTTCAACCACTAAATGCCATGGGATTATATATTTTTATTTAGTTTATTATGTTTGTTTTATTAGTTCATTGTTCTCCATGCATTTTTAAAAATAAGAACCAAATTAACAATTTAATGAAATGTTTTGAGCACACCCAAGATACCTCCCTCGGACCCCTGGGGGGTCCTGGTACCCAAGTTTGAGAACCTCTGGGCTAATAAATGTGTTGTTTGAGTCAGATTTCATGGGGATATGAGCTCTGTGAACACAGATGTTCT